TTCGTGGTTTTGTTTTTTTTCTTGTAATCTCTAAGGATAGTCTGAATTTTTGTAAATTTTTTGCTTGGATCAATCTTTCCAAAAGTTAATTTTAATCTTAAAAATGAAAGCTGTTTGCCAGGCATTGTGGCGCACTCCTGTAATCCCAGCACTGGGGAGGCTGAGGCAGGAGGATTGCTGTGAGTTTGAGACCAGCCTGGGCTACATAGTGAGTTCCAGGTCAGTCTCAACTACACAGTGAGATCCTGCCTCAAAAATAAAAAAGAAAGAAAGAAAGAAAGAAAGAAAGAAAGAAAGAAAGCAAGCAAGCAAGCAAGCAAGCAAGCTGTTCTACATTTTATGAGGAATAGCTTTAGTTTAACCCTCCTGCATAACACAATATAGGTTTAATATATGGATTAAAATTTCCATTATAAAATATGAAACCTCAGAAAGTACTCGATATAAAATTACTATAAAAGAAAAACCATTAAAACATTTGAAATCTTAAGTCTTCCTAAAGAATGTCTAAATTTTAAAATCAACATAGACTATATAACGTATCATACATAAAATAATAATGCTGGTGATGGAAATGGACACACACACACACACACACACAGAGGAGCAGAGGCCCAGTCATCCGTCCTTCCTCAACTAACTCATGGCCAGGTGGGAGGACTGCAAGAAGGGAGCAGGGATGAAGCTAACCCAACACTCTGCAAACAGCCAAGGCCTCAGTCTGAGCAGCAAATCCCAGGCTCCTGAACACCTCCACATCTTTTTTCTGTCAACTTCCTCCTCATATAATGTCTAACCCACAGCTCTGAAGCATACCTCCAAAAAGCCACACAAAATCCTGAATTCCCAATAATTACCAAGCAACCAGAAAGTGGTCACAAGGCTAAGAAGTCTTTAGACATTACCCAGAACATACAAAAAGGTTTCTTATAAAGACCAATTTCTTTCTACCTTAGCTTTCCTAGTAAAACATTCCATAAAAAAATGATGCTTAGGAGATGTGAAAAGATAAGGACAAGTTACTTGTCTTTATACACTGTGACAAAGGCCAGCAAAGTCTAGTTTAAATAAGGGACTTTCTGTAGAAGGTGGTAAGACTAGAATTTAAAAGGCCACACTCAAGAGTTTTCTAAATATATACATACATACATTATTGCCAAGCAATAGACAAGGGCCTATATAATTTGTTTTAAGCTTTTAACAACCTTAATTAATCTTTATCCAATGGCTCCATGTTTTCAATATTACATAAAACTGGGCTAGTCAGCAATTTTCTCTGAAAGATACTGAGCAACTTTGAAAACATAGGACTTGCAGAGAGATGCTCTCTACAGGACTGAAGGACTGAGGTCTCCCTGCAAAGCACAACTGGAACCCCCAACCCCAGACTTGGGAACCTAGAAAGCCGCAGACAGCTGGTCAGCAAAGTGAAAGTAGGGCCCCAGGTTCTCCTGTCTTGAAAAAGTGTAATTTAAAAAGCATTCACTTAAAAGCACTATGTAGGCTGATCACACCTACACAAACTAAAACAACAAATATTGGTATCATACTAGAAGTTCACAACTCATGGTAAAATCTAATCTTTCTGAGACATGAAATCATCAGACAGAAATTACCGACTCTTTCTGTACACACGTGTTCAACAAGCATTCACCCAAGGCCTACAGTAAGCATGCTCCGTTTAACAGGCATGGTTTTCTTTCCCTCAAAGAGCAAAGGATGAAAAGTCCACCTCTATCTCAAAAGCAGGCAAAACAAAACAAACTGACTGGCATTAGGGTTACCTAAGGAGTGAAAGTTCACAGGGAGCCTGGACCACTACTTGTTTTTGACAGTTTAGTGACTAAAATCTTCACACTTGAGAGCCCCTCCTTCCATATTCACAGCTAGTTTTTGATTTTTGAATATTACAAAATATACTTTCATTTAGCCCTATCACCACAAATTCCACTCATCCTAGTCTTAGGTTCCTATAATCTTTGGCCTGAAACAGAAAGGGCTCCAAGTTATAAACCTCTTTTCACCTCCTCAAATGACATCTTGCATTTCTGACAAGTTATATCTAAAAATATCTGATGATATTTCCCTAACTGAAACTTAGCTTCCTTCTCCATCCTCTAGGAATAAAGATTAAAATCCAGGATGCATATTAAGGTTATACTCTTAAGTGAAGTAAATAAGTCACATGTGTAAATACCGAATAGTTTCTCTGGTGTGAAAAACTATAATTGTAAAAAAGATCCTAATGGTATAATTGACAATGTGAAATAGGAAGAAAAGGGCTAAAGATGTAGGGGAAGGGGGAAGAGTAGGGGAAAGAAAATAAGGGAAAAGAAAAAATATGAGAAAATGAAAAAATGGAAATAAACTATTTGTAAATAGGGAAGGGAGGAGGGGGTGAAGAGGGCAGGGACAAGGGAAAAAAATGAGAACCAGGACCTGTCATATAAAGGTACAAGATCCCAATGATGAATGCAATTGTACTGTATACCTAAAATGTACCAATAAACTCAATGAGAGAGAAAAAAAAAGATTAAAATTCAGAAGCTGCTCTCCAAAGAGGCAAATCAGGGGCAAGGGGAGCTAGCGAGGCATAGCACAGAATCTTGCTCTCTATTTTCAATAAGAACAGATATAAAATTTTACTTGAAAAAGATGTAAAAGGAAGCAGTTCAAAGAGAAGAAGACAAATAGCTTTTGGAGCGTATTAGAAAGTGTTCAATTGTACTCATAATGCAAATTATAACAAGATAACATTTTCAACCAATTAGACTGGCAAGAATTAAAATTAAAATCTGATACTATACCATGTGGGAGGACAGAGGCAAAGAGGTGTTTACATACACCATACTGAGTAGGTACAGACAAGGAGGAGGCCTTTTTGGAAGGAAACTTGGTAATATTTATCAAAATTTAAAACACCTGGGCTCCTGACCCAGGTATTCCATTTGTAAGTGCATAATCCACAGAGGATACCCATGTGCACAACACTTGTTTCCAAGAGGAAGAGACCAGGTTCAGTCTAAGGGCTCACCAAGGGGACTCGCAGAACTGTGTGCCATCAGGACAAGAGCTGTAAGCCTGGTGCAACACCACAGGGAGATGTAAAGGCTGTGCCGACGTGGCACGATCTCCAAGCCACACTTCAAGTGGAGTATGCCGCCACGTGCGTTTCCAATGGCTCTCCCTGCCAAGATGGCAACAGAAACACACATGCACAACTGTCCATGTGAAGAAAAAATCTCTGAAAGAATATAAAAAACAACTAATAATACTTGACTAAGATAAAGAAGGTCTGAGCTCAGGGGTAAAAAGACATTTTTTAAACTATGAATCATTTCATAATCTGTAGTGTTTAACATGTTCGTGCATTATTTTTCAAAATAACATCTCATGTAACTTCTAAAAAGCAGAAAGGGAGAAGGTGTCCCATCTTTCTACCTCTCCTGGGAACTCCTCTAACCACCTTGCTCTTCCCTCCCTAAGTCTGCTTCCACCTGGAACCTGGCATCATCCGCCACCCACTGTTTCCTTTAAGCCATGATCATTCTTTAAGGCCTATAAGGCTCAAAACTCATACAGTGATCCCAAAGAATCAGAGTTGAATAAACCTCTGCAAAGCCCACAACATGTTTGTGACCTCACACTGTCTCCCTAAAGGCAAAGGCCCAATGGTACACGATCCATCCTTCCATCCCAACAGCAAGAGGGCTGCAAAAACAACAGGCATCTCAGGGGATGACCACACCCCCAGGGCCTGCCTGACAGCTTCATTTCTGCAGCGGACACCTGGGGAGACAGGCACAGGACAAATACGACGGTCCCACACTCACTTCCAGGCAAGAGCTGACAGCCACAGTGACATCTTCAGTAAGGCTCGAACTGTTCATCATTAACGTGACATCTACTGCACTTTTACTGGTTCTAACTCTCATGGGCCTTTATTTTCTTCCTCAATCTAAGCCAAGTGCTAAGGATCAGGGACAGAACTAGGATATTTACTCAAGAACACAAATATTTTGGTGGCTCACAAAAGATTCTCAAGGCTTACAAAAAGAAAAGAGGAACTTAGCAAGGATTAAATAATATCTAACGAAAGAATAACACATTTGGCAAATACAATTATTCATCTTATTAAAAAATATTTACCTACTCACTAAGGGATTTAGTTACTGCCACCTCACACATATTCCATGAAAGAAATCATTCTGACTTCTCTTTTAGCCAGTCTTAGAAGTCATGAAAATCCATAAAGTATGGAAGGTACCACAAAGACAGAACAACATTCAACTGCATATCATCTTATATCTTGAAAGAGTTAAATACTCTACTAAAAATATCCCCAACTTCTAGAACATAGGTAAAATGTTTGACTCCTAATTCTAAGAAAATTACTTAAATTACTAGTGATATCAAGGTGGTATGAGAAAAATATATGAAACTCAAAAGCTCTTTTCAGAAACTTGATTTCACTTTTTTCAATATAATATATGGCTAAGTGGAAAATGAAACAGGTAAAGTATTCTAAGTGAAATAAGTACACGAGTTCTTTAGGAAATGATTAAAGGTACATTTTATAAGGATTTTTTTTTTTTAATTAAGATGGCAAACTATTAGGATAGTTAATTTTTTAATTCTGTAATTTTAACTCTTTTTCATTAACTCAACAAAAAAGTAACCACACAACTCGGAAAGTTAGTATTTCTTAGCCTTCAAAGTGTTGTGAAAGCATTAAGCTATGCTAGGCTTTTATGCAAGCACACAGTCTATTTTTTTTTTTTTTCAATTTCAACTAACTTCTTTTCTAGTAAGACATCTAGAAGTTAAACTTTACTAGTTTGTTTATATTTTATTTCTATAAAATAAAACGTGGCCCATCATGAACTACTGATCTTAAGAGGATGAAGCCTAGCTCCATAAGCATATTTCCATCATTTCTTTGGGGAATTAATTTCAACACTTAAACTTACAATTGTTTTCAGGACAACTTGCAAACTTACAGTGTTAGTTGGATCTTCTTGCAAAATTCGATCATACAACTGTATAGCATCATCATACCTATTTAAAAAGAAAAAGAATCAAGACTCATTACCTTAAAAATGTAGTGATAAACAGTAAATACAGAAAAAGATTAAACTGGCAGGGCTTTAACCACATTCAAAACTGTTACTCAAATCTCCCCATCTCTACTTATCAGCAAATGTTTATAGTATTCTAATTTTAGAAAATTAATTTTAAGAAATAATTCATTAAAAAAAAACCACATTGTATCAAGTACTTATATAACTTTCTCAAAAAATATTGATTCAATTGGCCCTAAATACAAAGGGATAAATGAGCAACCCAGGTTGATAAGACAGACCAAGCACCAGCACCAGACTCACACAAGGCAGAAACTTGGACACTAGAGCCTGGAAGAGTAAATATCTGTGTATATAAGGGCTCAATGGAGAAAGTGGCAGGAAGATGGGTAATGGAGACAGATGAGACTCACTTCTTCTTGTATTCCTGAGTATGAGAAAAGTCTCAAATCACCAGAAATGCCAAACATTATGAGTGTGGTCAACACTCTTAATGCACAGGATGTACTGAATGGCATTCTCACTACCTAGCATCAGTGGTCCTATCCTACCAACACAAGCATACATCTATCCTCTGTTATTCACATTCCTCAACTACCTCCTTAGGTTTTGCAGTGAGATATCCATGATAGTATATCAAATGCAGTAGAGTTTTCCACTCAAACCTCCACCTTCATCATCCTGTTTGTGTTCTGTTTGGCTGACGACAACTAAACAGTCAACACAGAAAACCAAAAGCTGTATTTGATCATTTCCTTTTGCTTCTAAAATGTAACCCATAGCCCCTTTTGTATCTTTCTCCATTCCTCTCATCCATCCTATGTCTCTACACACTACAGTTTACAATGCTAGTGCAGCAATCGCGAAAGCCGTTTTCCTTCTGAAACTACTGTCTACACACCTTTGTTAAAATGTTCTTATGGACAAATTCAGGGGCTACTTTTCCTCACAGTCCTAGAATGGATTCCTGGTGCCTTTAGTTGAAATTCCTCAGCAGGGCATATGAGATCTTACACAATCTAGTACTCTAGGCATCCAGTTGCAATCCTAGCCAAAACCCTGTCACACTTTAAAATCCAGCCACAGTGAACTCTTAATTCTCCTGGAGTTCCACGGAGGTGTTACAGAAGTTACTACTGAAGAGGAAGGAGCAGGGCCAGCAGGGACCTAATCACACTCCAAAGAGAACAGACCATGTTTTCTTGGAAATGGGGCCCTGTTTTTTAACAAGGTTGAAAACTACTAGGCTAGAAGGTGGCACTTTCTATTTATTTTGTTTTGAATGTGTGTCTGTGTATATTTCCTAAAACAATACTAAGAAGTTGGCAAAATCCTTATTTCAAAGGATTGAAGCTGAAAGGGCTTAAAAGAAGTTACATAATTTGTCTAGCATTTTCAAAAGCTAGAAAATGCTAGAACTAGGATTTGAAGCCAGTTCTTACTCCAAAGCATGATTTAATTTCACTGGGTCAGAGATGGCAGATGGAGCACACTTCCTGTCAAATCTTATTTCCTGGGAGTAAGTGGCAAGATCTGTGCTGAAAAGCACTCTGACAACTATTTTAGAATTAAGCCACGAAAGATCATGCACAATTACTGATGCATTCTGGTGTCAGTATTTGCCATTTTTAAAATAAAACCACACTGTTCACAAGATTTGATTACCGTTCCATGGCTTCAAATCTCATGCCTGTTAATCGCTTGACTCTATGGCTGCCAGGAAACTGCCTTCTTAACTCCTGAAGACAAAACTGAAAAATAATTGGCAAAAATAGAGTTAAGGACTAGTCATTACATTACATAGCCTAAATGGGCATAAAGAATGGTCTATATGGTTTTTTACTGTGCCCTAAGGTTACTAATAAGTCCCATTTACTGTTTTTGATGGTTTTCATCTTTTGTTTTGCTTTTTGAGGGTTTTGTTTTTGTTTTTGTTTTTCCCGTGGTTGGGACTGAATCTGGGCCTTGTGCATGTCAGGGAAGTTTTCTGCCACTGAGCTGTACTCTACTTTCCACTACTGTTAATAGTGCATTCAAAACTTGTCATGGAAAACATTCAATACAAGTTATATGCTAGCTCTTAAGTACCTATATATATTCCATAAAAAGCAAAGTGAATAGAAAACGCAATACCCACCAATGCCAAGTCATCCCGACCATAATCTAGGGCTGCAATCATGACCTGCTCATATATGATCCAAACTAGATAAGGAAAGAGGGGAAAGAACTGAATTTAACATTAAAAAAAATCCCCCAAACAGAAATTAATAAATCTTGTTTTCTGACATTTTAGAGAACAGTACTTATAAATGAAAAAAATGATGTATGACTTCTGGAATTAAAGAAAAAAAGTATACTTACAGCTCTTAGAGATATAAAATACTTTAATGTCTTACACGGTAAAAATCTCCAATTAACACCTTTATTAGTCTAAAAATCTCTTTATAAAATACATTTTGGCCAGATCAGAATGTCTTTATGAAACACACTTTGGCAAGACCTTTGGCAGCCTTGTGAGCTTTAAAACAAAAATACCTCTTTGATAGCTTCACTACAAACAATTATAAATTCTCCTCAAAATAAAAGTTATCATTAAATTTCCTGAGACAAAAATCACAATGATTTGACCAATAGAAAAAACATAAATGAAGATAGTTTAAAAAAAAAAAATCAATGAACCCTAAATGAGACATGTGTTGAACCTGAATGTAATACATTAGCTGAGGAACATACTATCATCTCCAAGCTTAGAGGCATACTCATTAATCAATTCTTCTCCAACTTCCACAATTTGCTCACTATTTCTTGAGTTTTCTTCTCTCCATTTTCTCATTTTATCTCTCATTTCTGAAAAAAATTTAAAATACAAGTTATTTTCATACATGGACACTTAAACACACAAATGACAAATGTCAAAAAATGGCCACACATAAACTTCTGGTTAGTGAGTTTATTTATATAGTCGATTTCATTTTGTAACATAATATTCTGACAAAATTGATAAAACAGAAAATCTACAGAACAAGTGCAACATACCCTTTAGGAGACAGAAACGGCATCCATCTAGTATCCAACTGTCCTGAAAAGCAGTGCAATGCACAGTCTGCAACAGACCTCATGCCCCTTAAGCAGTGACAGCTCTTGACTTTCTTTTTTTGTTTTGGGAGCGTATAGGCTATTTTTAGTTTGATAAAAGCTAGGGATTGTTTTGCCAGAATAATCCATAAGATCCTACTCCAATATATCAAAGTATTCAAAGTGTTCCTAAAGTTCACTCACTGATCCAAGAACATAACATTTTTATAATCAGAATGTCATGTTTAGGCCATCAGCACTAAAGGGATTCATCACAAACTTCCTTCATGATAGTGTGCTATGCAAAGAAAGAAAAAGCAAAAGAATTAAAGGAAATCTTTTTGATTATATGGAAACAAACAAGGAATAAACTGAGTAATGTAAAATAAGGTCATGAGCATGGACAACTTAAATCAATTAAATTGATTTAAGAAGAGGGACCTGTAGAAATTTTAAGGAACGCACTGCTCAGGACTGAAACCATTTCACACAGTGCACATGCTGGGAGTCTTAATCCCCAATGTGACCACACTGATATATCAGGACAGAGCTTCAAGAGACTTGTTCTACTCCACCACTGCAAGAGGAGGATGTACCACAAGAGGGTCAGTCAGGCCACAAATGGGTTCCTGGAAACAGGAGCTCAGCCTCTTTCCGTCTCCCCTCAACCCATTCTGCCTTCCAAGATGGGATGACACAGCCAGAAGGTCTCCACCAGATGTAGCCCCAACTCTGGGCCTCCAGCCTCCAGAACCAGAAGCCAAATAACTGTTCATTAAAGGATACACAGCTTGAGATATTGTGTTTTAGCAGCAAAAATGGGCTACAAAAAGAACTAACAATAATACAAAGTAAATCCTTTAAAAATAGCTAAGCCAGTCTTCTCTTTCATGGTGTTATAGACTGAATTGTCTAGGTCTCCTTTCAAACACCTATTTTGAATTCCCTAGCCTACAGAAATTTCTGTTGCTTAAGATTGAAGTTTATAGTTTATTTGTTATGGTGACATGAACTGAGACACACAGTTAAGATAGGATTAACTGTCCAACTCCCCACATCCATGCTGTCTTATTTTCATCCATCTGAAAATCTTGAAGTACCACCTTCATTCTTCTAGCTGAATTAAAAATTTGTTGAACAGATGAGTTTAATGAACTAGGAGTCTAAAAAAATCTGTAAGAGATTTTCACTACTTTTCTATGTATTGAGTTTCTAGTTTGAAGCCTACAAGAGAAAAATCTGTAAGATGAAATAGATTCTGAATGACAAAAATGACCTAGAATTTGTAAAAAATCATTACAAATTAGCCACTTATCAATCCAATTATTTAAATATAGCATGACAAAAAATTGCATATTTTTAATATTTTTATAAGATAAAATAACAGGAAATATAAAAACAATCATCTTATCAAATGTATTCAATGCAAGAATTGACTTGAAATGACATCTGCCTGAGCAACACTAGGAATAGACAATGCATAAACAAACAGGCTGTTTATGGGTAAGTGGTTAATATACAGCTAATTTCTTCTTGTGAAATCTAGACATGTTTGGTTCTCACTTCCCACTGAGTACCCTGAACTAAATCAAAGGGTGAAGAGGAGTTCAAAAAGACAAGTAAGAGGGCCGGGAATTTAGCCCAGTGGTTCGCTGCCTGTCTCACTAGGCAAGTAAGAAAGTAAATTATTCTACCAGAAAGAACTCCTGGTAACTCAAAATTTAAGAAACAGCAGGACAAAAAACTTCAAAGAAGTAAGAATACATTTCTTAGATGCCTTGTATTTCATAATAATGAATCTTAAGTTTGTTTTCAAAGGTGTAGAAGAACAAAAATTTTGGAGCAAAAAAAAAGCAACACGATTAGAACTATACACTAGAAAAATCAGTGGGGCAAACAAAAATCCACAAGATGAATTGGAAAGGATAAAAGCTAAATGAAAAGCAACCAGTCATGGAGCACATAAAATGGGTACTAATGAATCTAAATTTTACATGAGCACAAACAACTTACTGTACATGGGCCTAATTTTCCAAATTTCCCGCACCTTTGAATGGAGATGAGTACTGCCATCTGTAGTTCTGTGTGCGCAGTGGGGATTAGCAGGACTAGCTGCATAAGGACTCCACCTGCCACACCCACTGCCAGCTGCAGCTGGGCGTACTAGAACCGCCCTGCTCTCCACAGCTCCCCAGGTGCTAGAGAGAAAAAGCCACCAGAGGAGACTTTGACACAGCCAGTGCCAGCACTGTACCTGACATTCCTGATGAAATGACTCCTGTCCTACCCACTTTCCAAGTCTCACACTTCTGACCCAAATGGGGATCTACCTGATCTCACTGCTACCCAGGACCACTGTCTCCAATTAACTGCACTCTGTGCAGCCCTGGATCTGCTGTGGTTTGTGGTCCTAGGGGGAGCGGGCTGCTTAAGCATAATCCACCACAGTGGATAATCCCAAGTGAGTGAAACACCGGACTGACGCAACAGCAAGAGGTTCAACTAATGGAAGAAATTAGGTACAAAAATCACATGTGAGCTATCTGAAAAAGCAGATGGGAAAGACTGAAAGGTTAGGCAGGTATAACAGCATAGTCTCCACTAAGAGTGCTACACAGCATTCACATTCTCACACACACACACACACACACACACACAGAAGAAAGCTAAAAGCAGCAGCAAATGGCCCTGGATGGACTCCCCAGCAGGAGACCCTCCACGTGCCAACAGGGGACAGGCACCCACGGGGAAGCATGAACACGGGTCTGGATAAGAAGGGTTCTGCTTCTCCAAGCACCCAAATCAGGCAACCAGCAGGAAGGAGGCTGAACTGACAGCCACTACAGAGCCTCTGAACTCCCACAATGACCACGCAAAACCCTTCCGGTGTAAGATTCCAAACTGAGGTGAGTCAAATCAAAACTCAACAACCCTGGCCAAGAAATCTCAGGTTAGCAAGATGCTATGCAAGAACCACAGAAAAGGGAGCTCTCTGGGTTTAAAACACAACTAAACCCCACACCTGCTATAAAATTTCAGGAAGGCTAGTTTCACATAAAACACAGAAAAGTGTCCAGGACAAACATCTCATTTACCCAACTGGAGTTTTCCATCTGTTTCCTCCTCCTTGTTCACAGCCATGGTGTATCATGGGAAAACCCTGTTTCGAAGACATTCCCTTTCATCTACCGATACAGCCTATGCCTCTCTCCCAGGGAATTAACACATACTCATACATCATTTCTGACATATGCTAGAAACATAGAGATGAAAAACAATAATCCCTGTGACAGAAAAACTTTAATCTGAAAAATCATCCAAAGGATTCAAGATTTTCACTTCGTTTCACATTAGTTTCCTCTGGGTTTTTTTCTTCTTCCCAGACAGCAGCCATGGTATGACGTGGTGGTTAAAAGGAAAAAGGCCATCCTCAAATTGCTCAGGCTCCAATGCTGGCTCTGATGCTTCCTAGCTGTGTGGCAGCAGCTAAGTGAATAACTTTGCAAATTCGGGTTCTCACACACAGCAGTGCACACCTTCAATCCCATTACACCAGGATGCCAAGGCAGGAGGACGGTAAGTTCCAACCCAGCCTGGACAACTAAGTGACTGAGTGAGACTGTATCTCAAAATAAAAAATTTAAAAAGGGCTGGGGATTTAGCTCAGTGAAAAGGCTCCAGGTTCAACCCCCAGAGCTACACAAACACACACACACACACACACACAAAAGGAAATAAAATACATCTGCATTATATGGTTACTGTGAGCATTATGAGTTAATCATGTATTGAAGACAGCAGCTGGCACATAAGTCTCCCCAAAAATTTAGCTATTAGTATTTTACCATTTTCATGCACACTGTTAATTCCCTTTGGTTTCTGAACCAAGAAGGGCGGAAGTTTCTCCCTAAGTCAGGTGCTGTGGATTACGGAAATACACTGTTTTAGAAAAGAGAACACAGTGGTGCCTCAGTTTACAAACTTAATTTGTTTCACACTTTTGGGGAAGATGTCTGCATTTGTGTGGGAAAGACGGCTGTGGTCATGCTTGTCACTTGATGTGGAGAGTTTGTGAAGAGAAGCAAAATTTTGTCAAATACTCTTGTTTGTAAACTGAACTGTTTGCAAACAGAAGTACTCATGAACTGAGGCATTACTGTACATTTTTAAGCATAATTTATGAGGACAGATCTATATGTTATAGGGTAAGCAGGAAGTATCTTACTAGTGGGCAGAGATAAAATGTGCCATCCGTCTAGGTCAGTGGTGGTGAACCTATGGCATGCATTCTGCAGCAAGCTACCTGTATCACTAAAAGCTCTAAAAGGCTCAAGACCATCACTGGTCCCAGGTATAAAGGAACAAATAGTAGCCATGGTTAAGTTGGATACAGTAGGCAGGAGGACAATGCAGAGTTCAGTTTTTAATTTTACTGTGGAACATCCAGGAGATGTGTCCTGCAGATAAATTTGAACAAGGATCTCCAGTTTGGAAACAAAATCTGAGTCTATTCTATGAAATACATATGGGATCAGGCCTGTCTTGTTCAACACTGTATCCTCAAGAACTGGAATAGTACCTAGAGCAAAGTACCCCACTGTGCAATTTAGCATACAGGCTAATATTTAAACATGAATGTGGATGAAATTGAAAAGATACTTGACCTTTTTTAGACCTCTTTGAAGCTGATAAAATATTTGAATCATCTTTTCCCTTAAATATGCACTTAATTTTGCCCATTAATTTCATACATCACATAACATGCCTGAGTAAGTCAGAAATCTACTTAGTCTCAGGTTGAACAATTGTTGGTAATATATTGAGAGGCAAAGAAACCATACAAAAGTGTTGGTAGCCATTCTACATAATTTTAGGGGAAAAATCATTTCACAATTAAATTATGATTAGGACTGTCTAAGGCCTAGTCTTCTTGCTTGTGGGCTGGCTATGTCATAGGGAAACCTAACTCCATTTTGCCTCTGGTCATAGCTGAGGCCTCAATACTCTGATGATGCTGTGATACTCAGCTGAAGATATCCTGGTTCTTGGAAAATGAGTAGTAATACAAAAAGAGACCGTTTTCACCTGGGGAGGAACAAATTCCTTATCATCTTAACTCATCCCACCTACTGTTGTAAGAATGTTTTGCTCATCTCATCGTCCTCATCAGCACAAGATCCTCATCATCACAGGATTACCACCACCCTCCGAGTCATCCGATATAGTCTCCGATTATAAGATCTTCGTCAATTTAGGATTATCGCTGCCTCTGAGTAGTCTGGTATTCCCTGTGGACCTAATAAATAGTGGCAAGCTCCAAGACTCTTTGTCTTTTGCCCACTCTGAGGTACTGACCTCCTGGACCCCAAATAATTTGAAATTATTCAAGTCTGTATTGCCTTTTTTCTTTTGCCCTTGAGGTACCCTTCTCTAGGCAGTCAGTGGATTGATCCCCCTATGATACAAAAGAATTATACAGAAATATGAAGAGCAAATGGATGTAAAGAACTCAGCAAAGAAGAGAACCTGAAAGAATGTCATTAAGACACCAAAGAAAGAACTTTTCCTACAGGGAGTAACCTACAACAAATTAGCACAGATTTATAAAACAACCAGTAATGTTGGCTTGAGGTTTTCCGAGAGGCTTTAAAGAGGAAGTAGGAGACAGTAAACAAATTGTGATAGCCTGAGGAACTGAAAAAAAGTTGGGCCAATAAGTAAAAGCAAAATTCTCCCAAATACTATGTTTTATTTTTTAAATAGTGCCTGTTATATGTCAAGCATTGTAGTAGGCATTCTACCCACATCCCACCTAAATACATATTCTTAAAAAACTCAACTACTCTATTTTTTGTTTTTGTTTTTGGTACCGGGGGTCAAACTCAGGACCTTGACTACTCTTTGTATAACTCTAAACTCTCTTTCCTACCTCCACACTTCTAATCTACATGACAGTTTTTCAATTGGCTAAATAAATAAACATCTATTTTACTATTTCTATAGAGCCTGTCAGAGACTTGGAGAGTGTCAGACTTACTAGATAGGACTCTAGTATGTGATGAACTTTCCTATTTCAAGAATACTAGCACTCTTTGAAATAATCATTTCATGACCCTATTCAGTGGAATCCTTAAGGACACAGCTCTGACACTGCGCCTCCCCAATCTTAAATGCAACACCAGTCCTCCTGTTCCACTCTTACACCCTAAACTCCTCACAAGTCACTGACATGAGAATCTAGAATACTCTTAAAAGTTTCTTAAAATGGAATTTTAATTCTAGAAAGGTCTAAATATTTTAAAAATAAGCAAACTATTCTGAGTTATCCAAGTTTACCTAAACGACTAAACTAGAAAACTGAAGCTAGAAAAATGATTCAGAGTTACAACCTTTTTCTGACAATCTGCTAATGTTTACTATGAATTCCATTAACAGTTCATTCAGTTCCTCCTGTGTATCAGGCACCAGTGGTGTGACGTGAACAAAACAGACCTTGTCCCTGTCACTCCGGGAGGGACAAAATTACAATGTGATTGCATAGCGCTTCAGTAGCATGGGAACAGAAATCAGGGGCTTGGAATTGATTTTGTTTGGATTTTTTAAAAAATTATTTTCTTTTCTTTTAAATTTTGGTGAAGGGATAGGGAAGGGATGGTGGGGAGGACAACTCTGAGGAATGGTGAAGTGTAATGGGGGCAGAGTGAGACCAAAGGGAACAGCAACGCAGGGGAAGGGACAGCATGTGCCCAGAGTACAACGAGGCAGCAGCATGGACACTTGCAGAATGAAAAGGCCAGAACAGTCAGCGAGAGAGTGCAAGGAGACAGCTCAGGTTCTACTGGAGAACAGCCGAAGAGCTAGATCAGACAAAGCAGAGACCTAACCTTCTACCTAGCACTCACCAGTTAACCACACACTTCAAAAGATTTTCTCTTTTGCTTCTCCGTAAAGTTATGAAGTAGTCATTATTATTCCAAACCTAATTACTTCCTCTTCTTTAGAATACCCACAAGGTAAAATGTAAGCCACCTAAGTAAATCACCTGGTCAGCTGCCAGTTACTCACTTAACAGTGCTACTGTCACCTAGAAAAGATACACTAAACCTTCCCTTTCAGAACGCTACTTTTTTGTTGTTGTTGTTTTGTTTTTGTTTTTTGAGACAGGGTCTCACTACGTAGTTGAGACTGACTTGGAGCTCACTATGTAGCCCAGGCTGGTCTCGAACTCACAGTGATCCTCCTACCTCAGCCTCCCGAGTGCTAGCAGAATGCTACTTTTAAAAGGTGAAAAGCTTTTCAAAAGCTTTAAAAAGAATTACCATGTGTCTACCTACCTTCCTGCTGATGACATATACTCTGACACAGCCTTTAAAACTGTGGGTTGTTTGTTTGTCTAGTGAAGAACTAGACTGCGACCGGGGAATGTATCTTATTTAACTTGATACATAAATGATTTAGCACTAAGCACTTAACACTCCTGTTTAACAAAACAGTTCCTCCAACAAAAGCAGAAATAGTAGTGTGCGTGGCTCGCTAGAGGCCAAAAAGACAATATACTATCAAACTCAGTTTAAGTGAAAAAGAATTTCGTCTCCTATATGCTTGCAAGTTTATAATACTGTTCATATTTGATTTATTCACGAAAAAATTGTAACTACAATTTTTAGTATACATAGTACCAGGCTGTTATTTATAAGCATCCCAGCAAGGCATTCATTGAACACATCAGCTAATGAAGTTTACTGCCCTGTGCTAAAGGCTGGGAACCTGGATTTCAAGAACACGAATTTCAAGCTTCACTGAAACTGAAGTTCCTTCGCGCAGACACGGAAGTTTTTTAGAAGGGAAATGTTTCTCCTACAGAACAGGTCCAGGCTTTGGCAGTTCCTAGATCTAAAGAACACAGTCCGTCTGAGCCAAGCACAGAGGGGAAAGACCCTCGGGTGAGAAGTGTCCCTCCCAGAAAGGAAGCCGTGGGGACTCTGGAGGCCGGGTGC